CATTTTTTAAGGTTCAGCCATCATTTTTCAGACTTTAGACATTGTTTAAGTTCTTCCATGGTGGAAAATTCGACTCGAACGAACTAGACATCATTTCTAAGTTTTTATTTAAAGAAATGAAATACAGGTACTACTTAAAAATTGGCATTTTCAATTTAATCATATTTTCCACCCATTGATGACTAATATCCCCAATTTTGTTCAGTGGTTTCAAAAGGGTTAAACAGAATCTGCTTACAAAATGAAATGAAAAATTTCCGGTTTTATGTATTTTGTATTTGACCAAATATTTCTTGTTTCATGTATGAATGGCTTCTTGATCATACCGACCGACCGACAGACAGACGGACATACAAGCCGTTATTGCCATTCCATACGTACGCATATATAGAGACACTCGTTCACAGGCCACAAAATGTTCGTCAGAAGTTAATGATGATCATCACATCACTGGGATGCTGATTGCGTTCTTTTACTTGATCAATAATCTTTAGGGTACCTCTCTGTATTGGAGTTCACTTGGGTATTTCTGATACAAGTGAGTGATTCAGTGTGTGTGTGTGTGTCTGTCTGTTTTTTGGTTTTGTTATTAATCTACCTTAAACAGCTCCGCCCCTACCTCACTCATACTCCATGTTCCCATCATGGTAATGGCGTTCAATGGTGTGGTGTTGAGTTATTTATATATGTATGTGTTTGTGTGATTACATACATAGGTATTGGTATGAGGAGCCCTATTAAATTGGTTCAATGTATTGGTGTTTGTATTAAGATTTTGGTTAACAATTAATGATCATACGCACTAAACTGGCGCGAGAAAATTTGTTTTTTTTTTTTCTTTCTTTTTTCTTTTACAACTGTAATTTGAATTATTCAATGGAATTGAAATGAAATGTATGTATTTTAGGGAACATGCATACATACGTAATTTGAATTTAAAAAACAACGATAACTTTTTCTCTCATAATTGAAAAATTGAGCAATAAGTTATAGCTTGGAGAAGTTTATCAAAACACATAAATGCATACATACATAGGCACATAGGTCCAAATGCCTTTGTTTAGGAAATATATATATGTGTAATTCAGTGAAAACGGAAGCAATCAATATAAATGAATGAAAAATAATTTCACTTTGATATTTGAAGCCTATTACCTCGGTTTTTGGGTACATATTTTTTAATGATTTACATATAAACAGCATGAAAGGGCATTATAGCTATAAAACCAAATTACATAGAGATCTATGTTGTATGTAAACTGTAATTTGTGCAAAATCAGCTTAAACAAGTAAAAAAGCTGTAAATTCGACCGGGCCGAACTTTGAATACACCCCACCTTTTGGAACGAATTGAAAAATTTTCCAAAAAATAAAATTCTTAAAAAATTCTGTTAAAATTTTAAAAATACCAAATATAGCCGTCTATTGGGGTCTATACGACGTGGACCTACATAGGCATTGTTTGTCATAAGCCATTACCATATTCAAAGTCGAAACTTGAAATAAACGTTGAATAATTTAGCTAAAATCATCAAAATATCGCATATAGGGAGGTACCGTTATATCGGAGCTGTGCGAAGACCTGGACCTGCATGTCACAGGCCGTAGCATCCATTACGAACTTCAAATACCACATCTCAAACAATTTCGATGGATATTGTACACAAAATCGTCAAAATACCGAATATAGGGAGGTACTGATATATGGGGCCTATACCTGGACCTGGACCTACATAGATTGTAGTTCTCATAACGAACTCCAAATACATAATTTGAAACAACTCTGGTAAATAATGACGCTAAAATCATCAAAATGCCGAATATTGGGAGGTACCCTTATATGGGGGCTATAGGAAGACGTGGACCTGCACAAACAATTTTCTGTCTTAAGGTGTAGTATTCATTTCGAACTTCAAATATCAAATTTGAAAAAATACCGTTAAATAATGTCGCTAAAATCATCAAAATACTGAATATAGGGAGGTACCCTTATATGGGGGCTACTCGAAGACGTGGACCTACATGACCCATTTACGAACTTAACCTGCCTACTGGAAAAATAAACATGTGTACAAAATTTTAGCCATCTATCTCAATTCATTCGAAAGATAGCGTTATTACAACAGATAGACGGACAGACAGACAGACGGACAGACAGACGGACATCGCTAAATCGACTTAGAATTTTACGCTGATCAAGAATATATATACTTTTTTGGGTCTGACATGAGTATTTCGAGGAGTTACAAACGGAATGACAAAATTAATATACCCTCTATAGGGTATAAAAATGTAAAAGTAGGGTTACAGTCATGCTGGAACTACTATGACAACACTACAGGGTTAGATGAACAAAACTGCAACCAACTTCAGAGTGCTGTCATTTCTAGGCCACTAAGCCATCGACAGCTACTAAAATTATTCCAGTGACAGCTCATTATATTGTTTACTAGAGTAGAAAAGCATTTTGGTGAGAATTTTCCAGAAAAAAAGTTATTCGTGATGGTATTCCAGAGTGATGGTGTGATTTCTCTATATATTTGGCTGGAAAACCACAAGTGGCTATCGTTAGAGCACTGCAACATTTAAATGTGAATAAATCTTTTGTGTCTCGTACCATCGCTTGGTACCGTGATACTGGTAGCGTAGCCCGACGTCAAGGAAGTTGACAAGTAAAGTCGCTTCTTTGATCGAAACCCGCGTCGCAGTGGCCGAAAAATGACTCGTGAGCTGAACATATCGCAATATTCCATTCGGCAACTATTTAAAAATGAGCTCGGGGTAAAGCCATTGAAATTCCAAAAAGTGCAAGAACGTACATCGCAACAGAAAGAAAATAGACTCAAAAGTGCAAAAGAGTTGCTTCGCTTGGCCGAAAGTGGTGAACTGCCGAATTTGGTTTTCTTCGATGAGAAAAGATTTGTTGTCCATCAGTTTGTAAACAAACAAAATGATCGTGTTTTCTTGCTAAAGAGGTCAGCTGAAAATGTGCACCTTCGGTTGGCCACCAGAACTCGAGCGCCTGGAAAGCAAGGTTGGCAGTAAAAAATACCAAAGTGTGACGGTTTCATTGGCCGTTTGAAGGCCATAATTCGTGCCAAAGGTGACCAATTCGAACAAATCTGAACTTATTCTAAAATTTGATGCTATTTCCGATATTTTTTTATTTTTATTCAATAAAATTAAAAAAAAAAGTAACAATTATGGCGTTTGACTTTGTTGCAGTTTCTACATCTCACCATGTATATTTACTTTCAAAAAGCCATGTAAACAATTGTCTGTTAGAGTTTTTATACCCTCAGTCATATGGCTAGAGAGGGTATATATCATTTGATACTGGCAAAACATGCCTCAAATTAGGGTTTTAGACCCTAGATCTCTATGGACCAAATCCGCTATAAATGGGTTATATGATCCCACGTGTAGGTATGCCTCTTTTCCAACACTTCTTCTTGATTATCGGTATCTAGATGTTTTCAGCTACAAATTCAAACGAATCTCTATTGTAATCGCGATCTTTTTCGAATGAATTGAGATCGAGGGTTAAAATGCTGCATATGTGTAATTTCGGGCCACGTTTTTGTATAGTTCTCATATAACGGTACCTTCCGATATTCGGTATTTTGATTATTTTAGCCGCATTATTCACCGGAATTGTTTCCAATTTTGTATTTGAAGTTCGTGATGGGTACTACATGATACAGACCCTATATATATATATATATATATATATATATATATATAACCCCGTCGTATAACCCCCATATAAAGGTACCTCCATTTGTTTCGGTATTTTGATAATATTAGCGGCATTTTTGAATTACTGGAATTTTTGAATTTCGTATTTAAAGTTCGCAATCAATAATACAGCCTATGGTAGAAAATTACTTATGCAGGTCAACGTCTTCGTACAGCTCCCAAAATTTTCCAGTTTCTTCCAAATAATGGATGGCATTAAAAGTTCGGCCGACTAAACTTAGCAGCTTTTTTAACAAAATTATTCGTAATGTGATGTTTGACGTTCTCATAGGACCCAAATCCTGTTTCTTAAATATCTGTAAATATTTGAGAATATTTTTGAATTGCGTAGTTTGCCAGCAAATAAATTCCATTTAAATAAAAAATAGCATCTACAGTTATATGCTAAGGGTCTGATATTTCCTTACTGCCTAAATAATTGTTGTACAATTTGAGCGCTATAGCGTTGTTACAAATTCCAGGTCCAGCTTTAATATATTTCCCACACATTTATTTCCTATTTAGCCCCTTTTTCAAGGTTTTAGGTTATTTCCGTAGTGGAATGAAATAAAATATACGTCTTTGGCGCTCTTAAAACCAACAAACTTCCGAATATTCGAAAATACTTGGGCATCAATTTCCTCGGAGTATTTTTTGCCGACCCAAAAAACAAGCACCCGAATTCTAATTGGTAAAACATAGCTTGTTTTGGCGTAAGCGCTATGGACATAACGGTATTCATTACAACCAACCTCAAACAACTTGTAATAGCCTAATTTAGCATTGAGCAACTAAGAGGAGCATCATTAGGATTTGTGGTCTCTGTCTAACAAAAGCAATGATCACATCATCAACAGAGAGAGTTGGTAGCTATTCATTTCTAGTTGAGCAAAATGAGCACAATTCACTCTTGAGTTGGAATTTCTCTGGGTTTATCCAATGAGGGCTCAATTGATTGGAAACATTGAACAAAAATGAATGATCATCAAAATGAATGAATGCTTGAGTGGGATTGAGTGAATTTGGGTTGGGATTCACTCGAAGGCAGAGATTTGCAATGGCATGGCATTTGTGAGTGTGTGTGTGCTGTAAGGTGTTCAGTCTCAAAAGAGTGTTTTAAGCCAATAACCGACTGAAGGAATATGGTAAAAGGTAGAGAGAAGATGTGTCTGTGTGTGTGTGTGTGTGTGATTGAAGCCAAAATGTTGGGAAGATAACAGTAATAGAGCCAGCTAGCCAGCCAGCCAGCTAATACACAGACAATAAACAATAGCAGCCAACGGCAGCAGAAGCAACAGCACCACCACCACCGGTAGGATAAACACACGGCAAAAAGGCACAAAATTGTCTGTGTTGTGCGTACACCAACGGGGTTCTCGAAAGCACCCTCATACCCTAGTGTCATTTGTCAATCAATAAGCAAACGCAACGGTAGTCAGAGTCGCAGTCGTCGCCGTCGTTGTTCTGCGAGTGTTAGTGGCATAGAATAGAACTAAGAAGACATGTTAGATTAACGAAAATTAAAATTTGCAAAAAAATAAAAATTGAAATTTTATCAAAAGAAATAGTGCGATTAAATGAAAAAATACATGAAATGTATGGCCATTGAAAAATTGGAAAATAAATAATGGATTTGAAAGTTAATTAAATTTATAATCGATAAGAAAAAAATCCATTACAAAAACCCGATTGTGAAAAGTGAGTGATTTTGTCAAAAAAATATTTAAAAAAATTAAAACAAAAATATCCTCAAAAATGGAATTTGAACAGCGTGTACCCTGCATTGAAGGTACCACCGACATGTCCTGTGATAAATGTCACATTTGTGCCAATAACAACAAGAAATACCACCTGTCCTCGTGTGCAACGCCCAGTTACACCTCAAGCCAGACCAGCCATAGCGAGAGCATCAGCATGAGCGATATGGAATTTAATAAAACCTTTCATTGGTTGCCAAACGTTAATTGTGGATTAAGTTCAGCATCTTCAACGCCAGCATCCTCATCATCGTATTTTACCTTGCGTCGCATTTGCATGCTATTGCTTGTGGCCAGCCTCTTCTCGTGTGCCGCCGGTTGTGGTCCCGGTCGGGGTATTGGTGGTCCACGTCGTCGAAGAAAATTAACACCTTTGGTGTTCAAACAGCATGTGCCAAACATGTCGGAACAGACCCTGGGAGCATCGGGCGTCAGCGAGGGTGCCATACGCCGAGACTCGCCAAAATTCAAGAAATTGGAATTTAATAATAATCGTGATATCATCTTTAAGGATGAAGAGGGAACCGGTGTCGATCATGTTATGACAAGGGTAAGTTGAAACCATATTTTTTTTTGAAATTAAGAAGCAAGGTGGCCCAATCAAAAAGTTAAAATAAATTGTTTTAGAAAATTCCCTGAAAAAACTGAGTCTATTTTATGGTCCAATAATGAGATATATCTCCATTATGGATCAAAAATCATAATCTTGGACCCATTAGAAAAAAATGAAGAAGTAAAAAAATTGCAACTTATTTTTTAGCGACCTCACCTTATCTTATCTTTGATTGCTGAGATATATCCCAGGGTACTGCAAGATAAATATCACAACACTTGAACTTAATCGATTGCAGCGCCCGATAAGACTATTAGATAATATAGAAAATGCTTTTTTTATCTAAAGCCTTAGCATAATGATTGGTTGGCACATTTTCGATTCGTGAGAGGTCTGCTGTCGTATTTATTTATTCTTTCATTGAGGGGCATTAAACTTTATGGGGTTAATATTTTTTTTCATTTCATTTATTAGTAAACAATATGGGTATTTATTTGTATTTGTTTACATTCGAGTAGTTGGAAATGGGAGATAATAAAATGAAAAAATGGCATTACAGTGGTTGATGAGTGATTGAACTTGTTACGGAGCTAAGCATGGGGGGATGGAGGAAACTTGGAAATTTAAAAAAAAAAACGTTAAGAGTTTTTGAGGTTCCAAAATTTAACAAATCGAAAAAAATCTTTGCAGGGCCAAAATCTTAATTTAATTTCGAAATGTTTATAACCTCTCATGGACCATAAAAAATAATCTTCCAATTTTCATACCATGCCCTTGATCTCTAAAATACAAAAATATGCCCCTGTACGGCGCGTGGCTGGATATTGACTTACATTTAATGCAAAAATATATCCTTGAAATTATCACAAGACCCATTAATGGTGATAAACCTGTAGTAAATATTAAAAAAAAAAAAAAAAAAAAACAAAATTCTTAACTCCGAAAGACCAAAAGGACACTTTTAAAATCAAGGTTACCGAAGGGAATTTTCTCTTCTGGTAGCTCATAATTTTTTTGTCAAGGTTAAAAGTCACACGACTCGAAATTGTAGAACTGTAAAAGAAAGTAGTATTGAAATACATTCAAACGTTGCATTTAACGAATGACCTCGAATGTCTCTCTTGTAATGCCAAGGACAAGGCCATAAACAAGGATCTTAGTTTTGAGTGACAAAACGTTTTGTTTAACGTGACAATAGGAGTAGTTTTAATGGTTATGTTTTGAATTACTGTGCGATTGAAGGACAAGAACGGTCGGTCGGATGGTATCCTTTAGGAAGAAAAGTTTCAGGCATGTGAGGCAAATTAGAAAAATATTTGAAAATATTTTGTGAGAAGAGTTATGTTTTGGAATTTCCGACAAAGGATTATAAATGTGTATATTTTATATTTTACAGCATTAGAAAAGTCCAAAAGATGTATAATTGTTGCCATGAAGTTTCTCATGAACCTCTCTATTAAAGAGATCTAAATTAAAGTAGCAAATCTGGGTCTATTTCCAGTGGGTTTGAAAATATTAGATAGATGCAAACGTTTAATTAATTTTGATTTTAGGATTTAAATTTAACAGATTTTGAGGACTCATCTCTCCGTTTCCTGGGTTTATGTGAACCAAAGTCTTTTCCCGGCACATGTCCCTAACCCAGATTTTGAGAGGGTTTCCTCATGAAACCCTACTTTAATTCTTATAATTTTAAGGCTCCTTCAATTCCCCTAATCGTATTCTTCATAGCAAATCCTGGGAAAGGAGTAACATTTCTCCCAACCCATCTCGCTCATTTCACCCCCACCACCCCTGCTTCACCTCCTCTTTAATACCCCTTTTTCTTTTCCTCTTTGTTGTTCCGAATTTTACTACCTCTTAACCTTACCTTGCCAAGGAAAATTCCATCTCTCACTAATGCCTTCTAAAATCATCCAAAACATTTTGGATAACATTTAAACATGGAATTGAAAGTAATTCGATATTTATTAACAACATTTAACTTGAGTGTTGTTCGATTCAATCGTTAAAATCTAACGGGTCACAAATGCATACATTTTGAAGAATTTCAAAATCTCCCAAAAAGTTTCAAAATTCTAACCCAAAGAATTGAAACCCAAAATCAAAAAAGCATAACATTTTAGAATATGACACCAATTTTGTGGGTGATTCAAAAGGGAACGGTTGGGAGGGAGACTAATCTGAAAATATCAATTTTTTTTAATTGAAGAAGATAAGCTTTGTGAAGCTGTCAATTTTAATTTGTTGATAAATACTCATTTTTGACATCGTTTGTGTCAGTTTTGTATCAATCACATCATATATTAACGAATAAACTTGGGAATCTTGAAGGCCAGATGAGGGCGAAGGAGGAGAGCGAATAGCTGGCGTTAAGTTGGGATTTGTGTGAATTTTATGAAAGAAGCCTGAAGTAGATGTCGCGATAAGTTTGATGTCTGACTTTGTGGCTTCCCATTGTTTCTTTTGTGTTTTGTTTATTGTTTGGAGTTTATAATTAAATATTTATCAGCAAGAAGCTGAAATGTCAATTAAATGTCAAAATAAATTATTTTTGGCAAGCAAATATCCATATAGAGGAGGATACATGAGAGCAACATGTCTCAGGATTTTTTTTGTTTGGAGAAAATCGAGAGTGAAAAAAAAATTTACAAAAAAAAAAAAAAATAAATAAATAAAAAACCTGCAAAAATCTAAAAATGATTAAAGGGATTGAATATCATTTTCAAAAAATTTTCGCAAAAATGTGAAATATATTCAATCCTTTCCATCATACGAAAAAAAGAAAAATAAAAAAAATAGAAGTAAAGCTCTAACAAAAAGTATGGTCAATGTGATGTCTTCCCCTCCCCCCTATGACTCATTGGCAAAATTTCGATTTGTGAATTGTTTATGCCTCAAAAAACCAATAATGCTCCTCGAATAAAAAGCAAATTGTTTAAAATTAATTTTCCTACAGAAGCCCGTTTTTGTTTGTTTTTCTTAGCGTATAATTGAAATAGGATGAGAAAAGCAAGCAAGCACAAGAGGAAATAATCATTGATCTGATGATTCTAAACAAAAATAAACATTTCTTATTTCAAGTGAATTCAATGATGGACATCAAAGCTTCCTGATGGTCAGTAAACAAATAATGGGCAAAGAGTAGGAAAAAGAAGCTCTTTTTTAATTTTAAACAAAAAATATTTCAGATCGGGGGAGAAAGAGGAAAACAAGTCCCCGTTCCGCAATGGATTTTGTGTACATAACGAGGAATTGAGCTCTATTTGACTTGAAGATCAATTATTCAAATGATTCATAGCTAGGCCTCTCATAAAGTTTTATTTATTTGCTCTTGACCCAATGTTGCCATTATTCTTTTCCTTTAGAAAATCGAAACAAGAGATGTTGCTTTACTCCATAAAAAATAAAACAAACAAAAACGTTAATCATTTATTGGTCTTTGTGTTGAAATTAAATGCTTGTCTCAAACACCAGAAAAATGTTATGGTTTTTTCTATTTATTTTTCTTGTCATCGTTTTGCATTTAGTCAAATTCTGTGGCCATTAAATGTAAAGTTTGTGGCAAAATTGGACAAAAGCATAACAAAAATAATTTCCATCTCTCAGGTTACAAAATACCCTGCCCCAGAACGAGTAGCAAAGCACCTGCAGTTTATAGAACAATAAACTTAAATCTCAGCCGTTGCTTTGGGGTTGCTTTCGAGCCTAAATTACTAAAGTGAATACTGTCATTCAGTCAATTAATCAGTGGTTAAGAGGTAATCAGATATTTTAGATCCTTTGTTGTTTTGGACTTTAGGATAATGAGTTGCTTTAACGGAAGCGAAAACTTATGAAAACGGAAGAAATCAAGGCACCTTTTTGGTATTAATTTCCAAAAACAAAAGAGAGAAGAAAAAACGAAACAAAAACGAAAATCAGGTTAATTGTAAACTTCTGCTCCCTTTCACCCTTAGCCTTCTCAAAAAAAAAAAAAAATAAAAAAAGAGAGAAGGCCTCACAAAACTGCTGTAATGAATTTGTGTTAAGCTCTTTACATGTCATCATTGGTGACCCTTGAGTTTATGACTATGAAAACACTTAAGGGGGTGATGATAAACTTCTCCCTTTTCACCTCGCTCCCCTCCCTCTGTCCTCCTCCTCCACCCATAACCATTAATATTTCTCAATTTCTCCATAATCGAAACCAGAGAGGTTTTCAAAACAAAACACGATCGTTTTATGTTTTTTAACACCCTTCAACCCCTCTCTCGCACTTGAAGTCCTTTTTTCGCTCTCTCTCTCTCTCACCAAACTATGTGTGTGGCATTTTGTGGTGGTATGTCATTTATGTTAATGGCACGGGCACAAGTACCTGTGATTTCCTGTATTACCCTTGATTGTCATCATCATCATCCATACAGATACATACACACATGCGCAGTAAAACCAACTTTAATAAGTTTTTTTTTTAATGATATTAAATTGAACAGCAACAACATCAATTTAACTTGCCTGATCTCCTCTGTAGACGTACATGAAAATTGAAGTTGACTATTTTTAGACTACATAGTTGCATAGATTCTCATATGGCCAAGTTAATGATGATGACCATAATGGCAACATGTTTGGTATTACATTGTTTTGTTGTTGTTGTTTGGGGGGTTTTAATAGTGGCAAACATAAAAATCTTAATAGGTTTTTTTTTTTGTTTTTAAAGACGAAGGGGTTTGCATGTTCTGAGCATTAGGCCATGGGAGGAGTAGAGAGAGAGAGAGAGAGAGAGGAGCATCATCATTACTGGGATCTGTAGCAAAAGGAGAGTAGTATAGTAGTCAGGTGAAAGAAAAAAAAAACTCTTTGTAGCCATTTATAACCTCTCAAGTAGAATGTTAAATATACAGGGTGAGATGAAAAAACCGCAACCAACTTCAGACTGCTGCCATTTCTAAGCCACTCGTCCGACAGCTTCTAAAATTATTCCAGTGACAGCTTATAATATTGTTTACAAGCGTTCAAAAGCATTTTGGTGAGAATTTTCCAAAGAAAAAGTTATTCGTGATGGAATTCAAGCGTGGTAGTGGGATTTCTTTATATTTGGCTGGAAAACCACAAGCTCATTACCGTGATACCGTTAAGGAAGTGGACATTCCTATTATCATCGTGAAAATATTCTGAAAGGAGTATGAAAGCTTTGGGCACGCAAACAGTTTGGTCGCTGACCTTGGACATTCCAACAGGACTCAGCATCATCGAACTCACCCAAGAATGGTTACAAAATTAGGTTCCTCGCTTTATTTCCAGAGCTCAATGGCCACCAAAATCTCCGGATACCAGCCTGTTGGCATATTGTGTCTGAAGTATTTTGGAAATCAAGGTAGGCACTAAAAAATACCAAAGTGTCGATCACCCCCAAGCAAGAGCTTAGTCGGGAATGGGTCAAAATACAGCAAAGCAACATTCGGGCAGCGTGTGACGGTTTCATTGGTCGTTTGAAGGCCATAATTCTTGCCAAAGGTGACCAATTCGAATAAATCTAAACTTATTCTAAAATGTTATGCTATTTCCGACATTTATGGCGTTTGATATTGTTGCAATATTTTCTATCTCACGCTATAGAAACAAATGTAGTTGCTAGAGGCCATTCTTGGAGGAAAGTTTTTCTCTCACGTATTCTGAACTTTGTTCAAAAATAATTCAAATTTATTTAGAATTATTTTAAAATGTTGTTGTTTCCAAATAGCCAAGACTCAAAAGAAAATCATTTTATATCGAACTATTTCAGAACATTTTTGCTACATCAAAACAGTCTTAATTTCTATCTATTTTAAATCAGATTTCTTCAAGTTATACCTTAATTTTCTCTGGCACTCGAAAAAGAATTTCCTGGAAAATATTTTGCATTTCAACCACAACAAAATCAATTATTAACGGCCTTGGTGTCTAAAAATTGCCATTGAGGTCATTCGCTATTTTTAAAAGACCAGATTCTTCCCTGTGTGTACAAACAAGCATCCTTGTTGTCCATCCCCGTGAACCCTTACATGGTGAGATGGCGTAAAAATCAATTTGCCAAAGTAGCATTGATAAGACACCGACACAAAAACACAAACACACACGTACATGTACTTAAATACATTTATAGCCAGTTGGGAAATGGTTCATGTGGTTTTAAATCTATTTTTATGCTTTGTGGTATTTTTTTCCTTCTTCTTCGGCTTCTTCATATTTTTATAACATAGAGCAACGAATTTGTCACACACAGCCTAGTGACTTTTGTCAATGGGTGTTTGTTTGTTGTGAAATAGTTAAATTGTTATTTGATAGGCGTAAAAAAGCAGGCTTATTGTTTTTTATTTTATTTTTTTTTTTTTGATTTCTTTTTGATTGGGTAACAAAACTATAGAAATATTCAAAAATAAAATAAAAATATGTAGAATGTAGTGTTTGTGTTCTAAGTCTTTTGTTTTTGAGAGGGTTTTTTTCTAAAAATATCTGCCGATAAGATAAAATTAAGTAGGAAGGTTTATTCGATATGAAAGGGCTTGTTTTCCGAATGTGGTTAACTTTTAAGGAATTTTTCTTTCTTAAGGTAAAAAGTTTATTTTAAATTTTTAAGAACTTTCTTTAAAAGACTTAAGACATAAGTACCAAGTTTGTGTCTTAAGTCTTTTGTTTTTTTTTTTAATTTTCCTTAGATAATTTTAATATTATTATTTTTTCATTTTCAGCGCTGCAAAGAAAAGCTGAACACCCTGGCCATCTCGGTAATGAATCAATGGCCTGGAGTACGTCTACGTGTCACCGAGAGTTGGGAAGAGGAGAAATATTTACCTGATGTCAATTCGCTGCACTATGAAGGAAGGGCCGTGGATATAACAACCTCAGATCGTGATCGCAGTAAATACGGCATGTTGGCCCGTTTGGCTGTGGAGGCCGGTTTCGATTGGGTCTACTATGAGACAAGGGCCCATATACATTGCTCCGTTAAATCTGGTAAGTTTCAACACAAACACATACAATTTTACACAAACAACCCTTGAAGAATATCTTCGTTCCTGAAAGTGTTAATAAAAGAGCGTCAAATTTAGCACCATTTGCTTCTTTCTCTTTCTTTGCCCTGGTCACTTTGTGGTCACATAATCGGTGTTAATTTGCCTGTTCTTTACATGAATTGACACTTATAAAGCGATTATTTTGCATAATTTAACATCAATTTTCACAAGTTGTGATTCTGGGTATTTAGACACCCTGGCAGATTCCAAGTAGCCCCCGATCGTAGCCGGCCGATGGTCTTAGGCCATAAGCGGTAAATACGATTTACGTGTTTGCTTCATGCAAATCAAATTCAATTAGAAATGCTTAGATAGTTTTTCAACATGCTGCCTGCCGGCCAACCATTCAGCAATGGTTTCAAATCACCCAACATCATTGGGCCAGATGAATGCTGTCTTGCCAAGTGACACAAGAAAACACACTTTTCTTTGGGTTTCTTTATTCGTTTTCGTCTTTTTATATGAAACACTGAAATATCATAGCAATATCTTGTGTTTTGACATATTTAGCTTTGGGCCTGTCAAATCAAGCGACACCCAAAGAGTTTCTCATGGCAGGGCAAAACTTGAAACCTCTCAACTTGGCCAAGGAAGACGACACAAATTCCACAGACGAAGAAGAAGACGAAGAAGTAAAGAAGAAGTCTGAAAATAACCCATGAAGAGTTGAACAGAACTACAGCATCCATGGTAGCTATGGCAGGCACTTAAGCTTGTAGCTTAAAATGCGCTTTCATAGGCATTCATGTAATACACGATGTGGCTCCTGATGACTTTTACTTGGTCGGCAAGTTAACCTAAGGTTTCATGTTGTTTTTGTTGCTTTTTTTCTCTTGTTCTTCTTCTTCTTTTTATTCCCATTATTGTGGTTGTTGTTAACAAACCACAAAACCGGAATACTTTTTTTTTAAAGAAACAAAACACAACAACGTATAAAATCCCAGCTTAAGTATCGGCATCATATCTTTGTTATTGGGGGCCTTTTTGTTGCTGGGTACCGTCTATTCTTCTTCTTCTTCTCCTTCCTCTTCTCCTGGGGGTTTCTTCCTCTTCTTGGGTTCGATAGGCCGGCAAATACATGATAAAAGAAACAACCATTTTATCCAACATGCTTCATTAACAATGTGTTTAAAAATACCTGTTTTTTGTTGTTGTTCACAACAAAAACAATAACAACAACCACAATAATGGTAACATCTGAAGATATATTGACTACAAATATAAGAACAACAACAACAACAAACCAAGCCAGCCATCCAGCAACCAACCAGCCATCATCATCATCATTATTATTACCATTAACCATTTGCCAGCATCTTCTTTTGTGAAGAAAGAAAAAAAAGGCCAAAATTTAAACTGGCTTAAAGAAGAAAGAGCAGCAGCAGAAAGAGAAGCAACTAGCCCATTGGAAATTAATTTTAAAGCCTGTTTTAACAACCATACAACCAGCCCAGTCAGCCATACACCTCTTGATCTTGTTGCTGATCACATGCCAAATACTACAAAAAAAAAATAAGAAAACACAACAAACGACTAACCACCAATTGCACCCGCCAAATACAACAAAACGAACGAAGGTAGAAATAGCTCCAAGTTCGTGAGATCCCTGAGATTGTTGTTTTGCAAAATCTCACGACATCCTTCTCACAGTACAAACTTGTCCATACAACTTGTATGTAAACTGTTAAAGGCAGACAGACAGAAAGACAGACAGAGGGGTATACAGATGGGTCGACAGACACCATTGTAGCGATGCCTTGGGAAGTTAGGGTTTTGGGAGTCAGGGTAATTTATGTGGATATACACTGGGAAAATTGAAAAAAAAATATTTCCTAAAATCCCGAGTAAAAGAAAAGCAAGAGATTTTGAAGGGTTATACGAGGTGTTTTATGCTTAAGAGCTTTTAATTGTTATGCAAATCCTTTATAAAGAGTCCAATGCAGAACTGGGCATAATCATATAAAGAGGTTATTTAAGAGAAAATAAAAATTGTATTTTTCATTATATTTTGCATTTTTTAAAACTTATTTGACACGAATGTTGTCCTAAATAATTATTGAAACTATTTTTTAAAAGAATTAATTGAATAATACATGGACATTGATTGGTTGGTTGTTTTACAAAAACTAAGAGAAATTGATCTTTTAGATCTTTTAATATAGATTTTTTTTTTACAAAGGAGAAATTTCATCTAGGTATGGGAGAGCCCTGGGAGATCTACCTTTCAATTAAAGGTATTTTAAACATAGATCAAATCTTAGACAAATCTTCTGTACAAATTTGCCTTTAATACATAGACGAGCTAAAAGAAACCTCATCTTCCCCAAGATACAAGGTGAGATAAAAAACTGCAACAAAGTCAAACGCCAAAATTTTTACATTTTGAGGTGATCGCAAATTTTCCAAAATACTCCAAACACAATAGTCTAACGAATTGCTATTCGGAGATTTTGGTGGCCTTGTGCGCTGGCAATGAAGCGAGGAACCTCATTTTGAAACCATTCTTGGGTGGCGCGTGCTGAGTGCGATGGTGCTGAGTCCTGTTGGAATGTCCAAGGTCTGGGGCCAAATTTTTTGCGTGCCCAAGGCTTTTCAACCTCCAGAATATTTTCGCGATAATATTCGAAATTTATTCTGATGCCACCATCGGCTGTTATGGCGGCCCACACCATCACCGTGGCCGGCGCTTGAGTTCTGATGGCCAACCGAAGGTGTACATTTTCAGCTTACCTCTTTGGCAAATAAACAAGATCTTTTCTACAAACTGCTAGCTCTTTTGAATCTATTTTCTTTCAGTTGTGGTGTAAGTTCTTGCACTTTTTGAAATTTTAATGGCTTTACCCCGAGCTTATTTTTCAATATTTGCCGAATGGTATATTGCGATATGTTCAGCTCACGAGCCATTTTTCGGCCACTGCGAGGCGGGTTTCGATCAAGTCGCTTCTTTACATTTCGAATCATTTCCGCTGATGTTGCTGTTTTAACTGCCGATACACAAAAGATTTATTCACATTTAAATGCTTAAGTGCTCTAACGATAATCACTTGTGGTTTTCCAGTCAAATAAAAAGAAATCGCACTATCACGCTTGAATTCCATCTCGAATAACCTTTTTTCTGGAAAATTCTCACCAAAATACTTTTGTACGCTTGTAAACAATATAATCAGCTGTCACTGGCATAATTTTAACTGCTGTCGGACGAGTGGCTTAGAAATGACAGCAGTCTGAAGTTGGTTGCAGTTTTTTTCATCACGCCCTGTATGTGCATAGAAAATGTTCAGATCTTCTATACAAGTTCTTCTTTGAAAGAAAACCTTCTAATGTTCTCAGTGGGTCTAGACCCTATGATTACTCTCTCAAAATCTGTGAAATTATTTCCCCACCAAAAAAAAAAAAAAAAAAAAAAAAAAAAAAAAAACATAGTCCGAAATCCCCAGTTAGCCTTTCATTCATTTCCATTTTCTATATTTCTTCTTTTCGAGGAATAATATTTCAAAGGCCGCAGCAAATTAGAAAAATAAAACAAACAAATATTTTTTTTATGATCCCTTTTCGGCTCACACTTCACAACGGCATTATGACAAATGACAAAACCCATTTCCCATTACACAAAATATTGTGACACTTAACCGATATCACTTGACACTTGCTTGAAATATTGATCCTTTTGGGCAACAAAAAAGGATCCCAGGGCACAATTTAACCTAAAAAATTTTGTTTATGTCCATTGTTGCATCTCTTTGATGTAATGTCCAAAGCCGCCACCAATAGCCTACAATTATGTCACATCAATACCTACTGAATATGTGTGGTCCTTGAATGACATTTGACCCTTTTGTGTCTGTGTGTACATATATGAGGTTGGGTAGTCCTGTTTACATTCTTATCATTGCTGAGGTTGGCGTTTAGGTTTTTTTGTTTCGTGTCTTTTTTTCACTCATCCAAAAACTGGAATTTTGGTGAATCTATGCCACGGCTTATGGAAGCCTATATGTGGCCATAAAATATCTCATTGGCGCGGAGTTTGAATGGCTGTCATTGGCTGTTTAACTGGTTTGGGTGTTTTTAGTAATATTTTATTAATTTGGTGGTCAATGTAAGATGAAATTACCCCCTCTCCTTCCACCTTCATCTTTAATGGTTTATTAATTTATGATCTACTCAATACTGCTTCCATGGAATCTGGCATACAAATTTCAGGCCATCACATATTTTACAGCAATCTGGTGAATTGTAATGTGACAGCATTTGTTGGTGTTGTGTGTAAAATTTTGGACGACCCATTAGGCCAGTAGGCCATGTGGTTAATATATTTAATAAAAGATAATCTATCTGTCTACTTGTGGTGGGAAATTGTTTGTTGAGAGGCGTTGTTGGTTTTGATTTGAATGGTAACGCCAAAAATGGTAATCCAATACTAGAAAATTACCTTACCATTTTGCTTTTTTAAGAAAATTTATGAACATCTTAAAAAAATGGTGCAATAACATGGGTGGCCTGCAAACAAAAACCAATTATTTGGCTGATCATTTGTGTTTTCTCGACCATATCAAGATGCCATGTCAGAATGTTAAAAATATTTTGATTTATAACAAGGATAAGAAAACACCCCGCCCCGAAAAAAATAAAAAATAAATTGCAAAACCCACAGAATCTCATTTTCTCATTTTCCATACAAGGTATTACTATTGGCTTAAAACTCTCGTCTTGTTTTTCGTCGGGCAGGTAATCGAATGCACTCATCCAACATGGCTGGTTCGATGGCTGGATTACAATTGCAGCATTCCCATGGCCATGTGTTCGGGGGGTAATGAATATTACGTTAATCTGTTTTGTTTTTGGCTCGAGTTCACAAATGAATGGGCAAAGCCGAGATCCTTAATCTCTTGAGAAAACAAGATCAGTTTACCAAAAGAGGGATGCCGCAACACAAAAAAAAATGGTTACACACACGATCAAAAAAAAAAAAAAAAAAAAAAAAACAGAAAAAAAAAACAGAAACTGAAACTGATATCGATATGCCATTTGTTAGATGGGTTTAGGACATGAGGGAAAGATAATCGACACCCTAAATGTTATCTTTATTTTCCTTCTTCCTTGTTGTTGTTCACGATCCGGCTCAGTTTTAAGCTAGATAGCTAACAAAAGAGAAGACCACAAAGAGGCTAAGATATTGCAATTTTTGCAACAACTGTTAAAGGCTTTTTGACTCTCATAATAGGATTGCAAAAAAGGATATTATTAATGCCAAATTAGATTAGCAGGCCCAGCCCTTGCTGGATTAGTAGAGCAAGCGTGCCGTGTTAGGAGATTATTTTTTGGCTCGTTAAATCCTGAGGCTTAGCTTTAGGGCTGAGGCTTACAGTTTACACTGCGACTTGACTTGGTTGAGTCAAAGAGCCACAAACTAAAGTCAAAGCTGCAGGTGGGAAGGAGGAAAATAAAAAGTATAGAGGAGAACAGAGGTTACTTCACTATATAAAAGATACATACACCTTCCGCAGATTTAGGCCAGGCAAATGCAGCCCCCGTGCCTTCATTGAGCGTAATTCTCTCGACACACAATTAGAGCCATTGAAGAACAGTTTTCTGCAGGGCTGAACAACTCCCTAAATTCCATCTATGAAGAGGTCTTCTCTAGTGTTGGCATTCAATAGATGGGTGTACCTCTAAAAGACAACACATTATAGAATGAAAGGAGTAGAATTCTCTCTTCCTGGGGCCTTAAAATTAGATTAGCAGGTCCGTGCCGTGCCTTCATTGAGCGTAATTCTCTCGACACACAATTAGAACCATTGAAGAAGGGTTTTCTGCAGGGCTGAATAACTCCCTAAATTCCTTCTATGAAGAGGTCTTCTCTAGTGTTGGCATTCAATAGATGGGTGTACCTCTAAAAGACAACACTTTATAGAATGAAAAGAGTAGAATTCTCCCTTCCTGGACCCTTAAAATGGGGTTTATTTGATTTTCTCTCTTCAAGAGAGAGAGAGAGAGAGAGCTTGTGCCAATATTTTCTCTGTGCTCCATAATTAACACTTTCTACAAATTAACATTTTTAAATTTAAAAAAAAAACTATTTCTCTTGAATTGCAATGCTTATGAAATTGTTGTCTTTCCATTACAGATTCCTCTCACACCCCGCATGACAGTGGTTGCTTCACCAAAGACAGTACCGCCCTGACAGCTTCGGGAGAACGCAAAACCATGACCGATTTACGCATTGGAGATCGTGTTTTGAGCATCAACGAACAAGGCGAACCAATATATAGTGAAATTATACTCTTTATGGATCGCAGTCTGGAAGAATCCCAAGAATTTGTGCAAATGACCACAGAGGGAGGCGCTGTGCTCACAGTGACCCCAGCCCATTTGATAATGATATGGAATCGTGAAAAGTCCTTAACGGAATATGTTTTTGCCGATCGTGTCGAGGAGGGCGATCAAGTGTTTGTACACGATGAGTCGGGTGTTCTGAGGCCACAGCGAGTTGTTGATTTGCGTGCGGTATTGAAAACAGGCTTTGTGGCTCCTCTCACAAAAGAGGGAACAATTGTGGTCAACTCTGTGGCTGCCTCCTGTTATGCTGTGGTAAATAGCCAATCATTGGCCCATTGGACTTATGCTCCCATGCGTTTGTGGGCAATGCTAAAATCTTATATACCCTCAACGAGTACTGCTCAAATGCAAAATGGCGTCCATTGGTATGGCAGGACCTTGTATGGCATTAAAAATTATTTGGTACCCAAGTCATGGAGGCATTGATAGGAGCCAAATGAATTTTTTTCAACGAAAAAAAAAACGCCTTTCTAGTTAGCTGTCCAATTTTTGGTGGTTGCCTATTATTAAAAAAAATTAAAAAACGAAAAACAAAAAACCTAGGCTATAAGTAGGAAAAACAATTAAATGGAATTTTTACTACCTGATTACTACAGAAACAAATCAAAATGCGCATGCGCTTAGTATTCTTTTGAAAAAAAAAAATAAATAATACAAAAAACCATAAAACAGGATTTGAGTTGACTTCATGTCCTTGATGAAAACAGAAACCCTTCAAAATCCCACAACAAAAAATTGTAAATTATTTAAAAAATCATTGAAAATAAAACACTATTTTATTTAAAACTCACAGAACATTAAGCAAATATTTGAGTGATAATAACCAATCAAAAAATGAACGAAAACAAACAAAAATAATGTGTAAATATGTATGTACAATAGCCAGCAAATATTAGTGTATCTAAATTAAAATATTGAGATAAAATGAAAAAAAATATTTAAGTCAAAGAAATAAAAACATTTTAGGTGTGTATAAAGTAATAACAATAATTTAAAACAATAAACGCTTGCGTGTATAATTATTAATGTGTATGTTCGAAAAACAAATTGTATATAATTATCGTTTCTACTTCTTTTTTGTAACGAATTCTCTATTCTACTTAATCTATTTTCTCCCTAAAAAAATATTATTTATATAATTTATTATTTTGCAAATGTTTAATCAATTGTATCGATTTTGTTTTTTATTGAATCAGTTAATTAAAACAATAATAACAATATTTTATACATAAAACACACACACACAAACAAATACTAATTTAATGAAAAATAAAATTCGAAAAATCCAAAAAATCAAAATTGTTGGTCTTTTTATTTTAAAATAAGTTCTGGAGAATGTCCTAGGAAATCCAACCTATTATGAAAGGGGCGGAAGGTTGAAATTAGACGACACGTGTATCGGTGATTGAAAGTTTACATAGCAAAATAACCTCATTTTTTAAAAAATTCCGGATTAAGAATTTTCGGAATCTGTGCACATTTTAGCATGAAAAGAGCAAAATTCTCCCTTCCTGGGGCCCAAAATAGCATTTATTGATTTAAATATTTAATTTTAATTTACTAGTGTTGAAATGCGTTAATATAGTTTTAATAGGTACGATAGCGAATTGCCTTCGATGTTGAATTCTATAAGGATGCGCAAAAGTAAACCTGCGATGTTTATACCCAACAACACTATGTGTTGGGGGTATTATAAATTTATTTGGGCCAACAATTATGTACCACCTCGAAATATTGGTCCGCAAAATAGGAAACTATATATGGATCTACCTATCTCGCCGAGCTAAGTCGATCTAGCTGTGTATGTCCGTCCGTCCGTGAAGATAAGCACGAATTATAATGAGAGAACTTCGAGACTGGGTCTATCGTTGTTCGGCTTACAGGTGTTCGGGTCGTGTACGTGGAATGGAGGATCGGGAACATGGCGATCGCAGGTTGGTTAGTTGGGTTATGCTACAGTGTTTTTTGTCAGAAGGTCCTTGAAAAAATATTCTTAAAAATCCACTGTTTCTATATAGCCGTGAGTCTTTTTTATACCCTCCACCATACATATTATTGAGGGTATATGAAGTTCGTCATTTCGTTTGTAACTCATCGTAATAAAAATTTTAGACCTCACAAAGTATATTTACTCTTGATCAGCGTAAAAGTCTTAGACTATTAAATCCTGTCCGTCCCTCCGACTGTTGTAATCATGCTAGAGTCAAACGAATAGAGATAGGAAGGTAAAAGTTTGAATAGATCGGTCTTTTGTGTGAAGACGGGTCAAGTTCGAAGATGGGCTATGTTGGTCCACGATATCGTATAACCCCATATAACGATACCTCCCGATATTCGCTATTTTGGTTGTTTTAGCCGCATTTTCACTGGAATTGTTTCAAATTTCATATTTAAAGTTTGAAGCTCGTAATGAGTACTACAGGCCATGACAAAAATTTTTTTATGCAGGTCCATGTCTTCGTATAGCCCCACGTCCACGTCTTCATATAGCCCCATTCATTTCATTTAAGTGGTATTTTTCGACAGATTTCTTGAATTTATTCAAGATCCTTCAAAATGGTGGAGGGTATTAAAAGTTCGGCCCGGTCGAACTTAGCTGATTTTTTACTTGATTTTGCTACATTCCAAAATCAACTCCATTTTTAAACCGCAGACACCAACAGTGACCTATATGAAATGTCAGCTCTATTTCTTCATCCATATATATAGATCAGCAATATCATTGCCAAATTTCATCGATATCGGTTCAGAATTGGATATAGCTCCCATCCCCAACAGTGACCTATATGAAATTTCAGCTCTATTTCTTCATCCAATACCAAATTTAGTACCTTTCGTTTCCAAAACCACCTCAATACAGGGTGATATAAAACAAACTGCAAGGAAGCCAACCCCATAATTTTTATATTGTTTTTTTTTTTTTTTTTAATTTTATTGAATGAAAGCAAAAAATGTCGGAAATAGCATCAAATTTTAGAATAAGATTTTCGAATTTGAATTTGATTTGTTCGAATTGTTCACCTTTGGCACGAATTATCTCACCCTGTATACTGTTCATCCGATTTGTTATTTTTGACCTCCACAGTCGAAATATGCACTCCGTAACAACTATATTCGGGAAAACATATCAAATATACCTCAGCAATACCATTGCCAAAGTTCAACGATATCAGTTCAGAATTGGATATAGCTCCCATATATATCTTTATCCGATTTCAAGATATGGTTTCATAAAGTCGGTCCCTCCCGACTCTTGGAATTTCTTTACTGTTTTTTGATTTGTGAACATTCATGATTTACATGCGTATGTAAGCATTAAGTTTGCAGCTTCAAAATATCTGCACCTTCAATAATTCTTGAAGGGTCATGGATATTGTAATAACCCGTATTTTGAAAATTGAAACTCGGCTCGGTTGGGTTTTACAAACAATTAATAAACTTAAACTTTATTGGAATTCTGCGCTTTTTTAAGTAATAAGAATAAGAGATTACAATATCAAAACTGATTAAATTCAATCGGATTTACTAATGTTATCGATAACAGAATCATTGTTGCCACATCCCTTCCACCTTTTTCAGTCTTAGCTTCAATGGTCCTTGGTCACGAGGGACATCAGTTCCGCTGGAGGTGTGTGTTGACAGAGACGGCAATGATGGTTGATTTTTGGTGGTCGATGCACTGGAACACGTAGCAGGCTGGGCTGGTTCTGCAATGTCAGGAAGTGGTTCCGTGTTGATTGGAGATTGTTCAGAATGTGGATTTTGTTGATCCGGAAAATATTGAGGGAATTGAGCTTCCGGAATCATTTTCACCATACTTATATTTCTTACAAAGGTTCGTCCACCTCCGACGACTTTTACCTCACTGCCATTTCTTTCAACCACTTCGTACACAGTTTTATCAAAATTTGGAGTGAGCTTATTGGGAAAAATTACGTTTTTCAACAATACTTTGTCCCCTACTTGGATGAAAGATTCCTTTGCATTTCTTACAGTGTCCGCCTTTTCTTTCCCTTTTTGTTTTGAGATCAAATCATTATCTTTAGCAGCCGAATCAATCACTTCCTCAGATAGATCCTCAATACCAGGTATTTTATCACGAATGCGCCTGTTAAACATTAATTCACTGGGGGCTGTGCCCGTAGTTCCATGTGGCGTAACATTATACATTAAAAGGAATTTTTGGATTTCCTCTTTATAATCGTGTTTGTTTGCAGCAGCTATTTTCAATCGTTTTACCAAGGACCTGTTCATATTTTCCACTTCACCATTTGCCTGTGGCCAATAAGGAGGAGTTCTGATAAGAGATATGTTATTTTCTGAACAGAAGGATTTGAATTCGTCGCTGACATATTGTCTCCCGTTGTCGGTTCTAATGGATTTCGGTATTCCAAGTTTTGAGAATATTTCCTTCATTGATTTAATTATAGCGTCTGAGGTTATACGCTTTAAGAATACGACTTCCTGATACCGAGAGTAGTAATCAATTAAAACTAGAACATGTTCGCCATTAGGCAGCGGCCCGAGAAGATCTGTGGCCAAACATTGCCAGGGGCCATTTGGAAATGGATGTCTCTGCATTGGTGTTGGTTTATTAGGTTGTGAAACAAGAAGACAATCATGACAAGCTTTCACAAAGTTTTCTGCTTCCCTGTCTATTAGCGGCCACCAGACTTTCGAGCGGAGACGACGTTTCATTGCGGACTGACCCGGGTGGCCTTCATGAGCCAGATCTAACACTCTTGGTCGTAACGCTTTTGGTATTACTATGCGACTTCCCCGTAACAAGATTGGGCCAATTGCTGACAATTCAAAACGGAAGACATAATAGGGATTTGATGATTTAGACTCCCACGTTTCATTCCCCATACTCGAAATAGCCTCTTGGATGTCGATGTCTTTGGCGCTTTCTTTGCTTATTGTGGAAATATTAAGAGCGGATGGAATTGTGTTCTCTAATACGTGGAAAATTGAATCTTCGCAAGCTGCATCGAAGGAGTGGTCTTCTGAAAGTTTACACAATCGGGATATGGAGTCTGCAATATTTTCTTTTCCTGCACGATATATGACTTTGAACTTAAAAGCCTGTAGACGAAGTAGCCATCTCTCAATTCTAGCAGGAGGTTTCGAAGTCGGCTTGAAAATACTTTCCAAAGGTTTGTGGTCGGTTACAAGTTCAAACTCCAATCCAGCTAGGTAGTAAATGAACCTTTCTACAGACCAAACTAAAGCCAAACTCTCTTTTTCGGTTTGAGAATATCTCTTCTCAGTGGAAGATAAGCTTTTACTAGCAAAAGAGATAATTCGTGGTTCGTCCTCATCATCAAACTGCAACAGTACAGCTCCTAAAGCCACCGGGCTTGCATCTGCTATTACCCGCGTTCTTAATTTTGGGTCAAAGTATGAAAGATTTGGTATTTCGGATAACATCTTTTTCAATTTGCAAAAAGCTTCTTCTTGTCTATGGCTCCAGGCGAATTTTGCATTCTTTGTAAGAAGTATCCTTAATGGATCAGTTATGTCTGCTAAATCTAGTAAGAATTTTCCAATGTATGTTACCAAGCCCAAGAAACTGCGTACTTCCTCTTTCGACTCTGGGGCTCGAAAGTCTTGAATAACTTTAACTTTCTCGGGATCCGCAGTGAATCCCTCTGCTGAAAGTACGTGTCCCAGGAACATTAACTTTTTAGTCTTCCATACACATTTTTCCTGGTTCAAGGTAACATTATTTTTCTTTAAAATTTCAAGGACAGACTTCAAAGTTGTATCATGATCTTCGTCGCAGTTACCAAACACGATAATGTCATCAATATAATTTAGAGCATTTGGGCATGTCGAAAGCATCCCTTCCATAATTTTTTGGAAAATTTCAGGAGCTGAGTTTACCCCAAACATCAATCGTTTGTATCTGTACAAACCTTTATGCGTTACAAAGGTTGTGATTTCACGACTTGATTCATCCAACTCTACTTGATGGTATGCGGATGTTAAATCCAATCTCGAGAAGATTTTAGCGGATTTTAGTCTACTCATAAATGATTCGAATGTAGGCAATGGGTAATTTTCACGAAGAATCGCCCGATTGGCGCATCTCATGTCGACACAAAGTCGAATGTCATCATTTCCTTTAAATGCTATTACTATCGGGGAAATCCATTTACTGGGACCAATGACTGGTTCTATAATATCAAGTCGTAGAGCCTCGTCAATTTTATTGGCAACTTTTTCCTCCAGCGC